AGAGAGAGAGAGAGAGAGAGAGAGAGAGAGAGAGAGAGAGAGGAGCGATACAAGATTGGTTATGCGGTTCAAGGAAGAAGAAAGCGGCCATAGCCGCGGAGCTCGGACACAGAGGAGAAGGAGGGACGATGAAGAGGAAGGAAGACATAGGGAGGGTGAGGAGAGAAAGAAGCGAGGAAGGGGAAGGAAAGGAGGAAGAAGAAGAAGGGTGGTGAGGAAGAAGAAGGCGGCAGCCATAGCCAAGTTGAAGGTTGACCAGAGGGTTGACCGAAGTTGGTTTGGGCATTGACTCGGGCATTGACCAAGGCGTTGACCACAGTTGACTGGAGCGTTGACCATCAGGTTGACCAACATTAACCAAGCGTTGACCAAGGCATTCATCAGGGCTGTTGACCACGATTTTGACCAAGCTGGAGGTGGTATATTCTCGCCAAGCCCTCAACCTATCCCCTCGCCCTATGGATGTGCACTCACCCTATGGTACTTGCTGAGTCTGTTTGTCTCTTCTTTCTGCATTGAGTCTCTTATGTCGACGTGTTAGGAACTCCGTGTATGAAGGATAGAGCCTTGTTGACCAAACCCACACGGACTGAGTAGGGCTAAAGGCCGTGTCTGACGACTCGACTGTCCTGGAGAACACGAACCCTCCAAAGGACCGGTACTGACCAGCGGGCTGCTCGGTGTGGCACGGTAGGCCCAAAATCCGAGTTGTGGGCTGCACAACAGGTTGTCTAAGTCTTGAGAGGACTTGCTGATCGCATCGCCCTATCTGCAACGTTAAATAATTTCTGAGGAGTTACGGGGGATCTCCTTAAATGCCTTCTGATCAGCAACAAGTCCTGTAGCGACAGCCATAGTTTAGGTTCAGGCTGGTGACCCTAGTTGACAGGATCCTACTTGGATTTTGTGGTCCTTAGATTGAGCCTCAGGTTCAGTCAGTCAGGTGTCGAGGTCTAAGTGGTGAGGTTTGGAACTGTTGTCCGGTTGTGCACTTATCACCATGGTTGACACTCGCAGTGGGAAGAGCACCATGCCCTATAGTAAGGCTCAAGAAGAGCAAACCGCCGCCATCCTGAGGGAGAGGAAAGAGAAGAAGGAGCTCCTTAGATAGGCGAATATGAAGATGATAGCAGAGGAGCAGGTGGCGAAGAAAAAGAAGTTAGAGGAGGAGATGAAAAGGTTGCAGCAAGAAAAGGAGGAGAGAATGAGTGTTGCGGTAGAGGTAGAGGTAGAGGTTGAAGAGGAGGAGGAGTAGCCGAAAGAAGAAGATTGGGGGAAGGAGGAGAGAGCAGTGGCACGATGGAAGATAACCCGTGGGTAGAAAATAAGATATCTTAATGGGTGGCTAATTTATCTGGCATGGATCATCTGATCCTTACTTTAGATGAGGGTGGTACTGACGAAGTCCCCTAAAGTTAGATAGAGTAGGGGTTGGAGGAGGAAGACAATAGTATAGGCCAGGGGAAACTTACGCTGTTGTTGCGGCTGGAGGAAGGCCGCAAGGTAGAGGAGGAGGCCAGGGCCAAGGGGGTCGGGCCATGGGTGGTCGAGGTCCGGGTGCACAGGGGGGGTGGCGGCCAAAGGAACCGCCAAGATGGAGGTAGGGGTCAAGGTCCTCCACCGAATCGCTCAAGGCCCAGTCGATCACCACATTGCAGAGGTGGAGGATCACCTCAAGGGAGAGGAGGTTGGCACTCAGGTTGGCCACAAGGCCGGCCTTGGGCAGATCTGGGCTTGGACCAGAGGGTTTGGCAACAGCGAATGGAGCAGGGGCAGTGCATCTATTGCGGTGACCCTACCCATATCATTAAATATTGTCCAAAGTATAGGGAAGCCCGATTTGCTGCCCAGGGATCAAAAGGCAGCCGCTGGTAGGGGTCTCAATTGCCCTTACCATTAGACCGTGTGGGGAAGTGTGCGCGCACCACCAGGAAACTCCCATACCACATGAACCTATGGTAGAGGTTGCAGGTCCGTGCCTAGTTAGTTGTCCAGAGACTGTCTGTGTTAGAGTCTCTCTGGGCACTTCCCTCACAGGTCTGGCAGAAGAGTTGAAGGGGAGGATGTCGGTCTGGGCCAAGATGAAGAAGGAGAGCAAAGGACAGCTGGTGTTAATAGATTGAGAAGTTTTTAGAAGCAAAGTAGGACCCCTTATAGACACAGGGGCTACCCGTAGTTATATCAGCAGGAAAGCGTTAAAGAAACTGAGGCTAGGTATAAAAGTCCAAAAGTTGGAAGACCCCATTGTCAGTATCCTCGCAGACAACCGCACGATGCGTGTTGAGGATTACGTC